ACGGGTCGAAATTGATGCCCCTCAAATGAAGATACCGGGAAATAGGAGTTGTGATACGCATGAACAACCACGGGGCCGTTGAAATTCCAAATGGGAGGACAGCCCATTGGAAATGTTGATTGTTGAAAATAAAGCACGGGTACTTCCTGTCACGGGGGCGTATTGGAACATGGAGGTATGCATCCTGTAGGTCCAGGCTCACGAGGAAGTCGTTGACGCATACCATAGATTTGAGGTATTCGAGGGACGTCATTCGGAAGTGCGGAGGACGTTCCAGGAAAGTCTCGTTGAAATAGGACAGATTGTGAATCATCCTCATTTTCATGGACCCTTTCTTCGGCACTAAGAATATTGGGGAATAAAACCCTGGTGTTGTGACAGGATACGGGAGTAATTCGATGGCTCTTTTCTCCAACAAAATCACTATGTTCTCCGCTAAGAGGTCGTGTTGAAACTGGGAGTGATTGTGCCGGAGCAGGAACAGCATCAGAGGTGGATCGGAGAGGAGAGGGAGCCAAAACCCCTGCCTCAATATATCGGTGACGTATGGATCCTCTAGGATGGACCAAAATTTTCCCAAAAGATCCCTATTCTCCCACCTACCAGTGTAGGATAAACTGGGACGACTGGAGGTGGGAGTGTCCAGTCGTGCGTGTCCCTCACTTCACTTGCCTCTACGCCTGTCGCCCTGGGTGGGAGCACGGCGACGTTGATACCCTCCCCTGTCTGATCTAGGCTTGGCACCACGTCCCCTACCACGAGACGGCCCTGAGTTTCTGGCACGCCGAACAGACGGTTGCCGAGGCTGGTAGGTGTTGGATGGCGTGGAGGAAGGACGTTGTCCCTTTTGAAAAGCTTTCAAAGCAGTCTCCCCTTTGGCAAAATCACACACCTCCCGATAAACGTCATGAATGGCATTGTTAAACAGTGATGACGATGGCCAGGGTTGGTGGAATAATTTCCGCTGAAACTCTGAATCCCATGAAGAAAAGGACAGGAAGCCTTGCCGACGAATTAGGCACGCGTTGGCAAGCGCCGACCTAAGGTGCTCACGCAGGTCAGTGAGCCCTTTGCCCTGCCATAGCATCATAGTTGTGAGATGATCCAGTCGATCCGGATTTATTTCCTTAAGATCCTGAGTGATGGCATCAGTCGCTGACGCCAATGCCGATATAGGGCGGAGCATACGCTTAAGTTCTAAGTCCAAAGCCGCGACCCTTGTGTCCTGAACTTTATAGGAGGAGACAGCGGAAAAGCCTGTCACACGTTTCATTTCCTCATTCACCTTAGTCACTGTTTTCAGGCAAAGTCCAAGCCATGAATAGGATAGTCATCACGCTGGACTCTAGGCTCTTTAATAGTTGGGTTGAGAGACATCCCCGCGAAATCTTCATCAAGTGTAGAGAGAATCTCTCTGACCGCCTCATGTGTTGGCAACATTAAGGAAGGCGAGTCCCAAATAGTAAGCGACTTTGCAACATCAGGTCCCGGTGAAGGGACTGAGGCTATTCAATGATCAGCAATCCAGTCAAACATGTGATCAAAGCCAAGGTGATTAGAGCCCATGTCTTCCTCGTAGTCTGGGGCAAAGTCTCTCTCTGAGGACGGTGAACGAAACGGCAAGGGGGAACAGCTACGTGCATACGACGCTTTAGAAGAAGACGCCTTGCTCCGAGGTCTCGACCTATGGTCGCCTGTCGAAGACGTGGAAGCAACGGGAGACGTTGGCGTAGGCACAGGAGCAGACACAGTAGACAGGATAGGCACCGATGCTGGAGGAGGCAGAGGTGCCGTAATCGTCGAAGGTGGCAAAGGCGCTGGAGGCGCTATAGGGGGGAGAGGCGCCGATGTTGCTGGTGGCATAAACGGCATAGGCGCTGATGTACCGGTTTGACCTGATAATAAAGTCAAGAGAGTGCTGAGCGTGGACACATCAAAATGCAGGTGGCCGTATGGCGTCTGCATCATAGACGCCTGAGGCATTGGAAGCCCTGTAGATGGTTGATATGCATAAGGCACCTGCCCCGGGGAACACTAGAAAGGTCTGCGACACAGGAGCCTGGGGCGTCTGACACGGCGCAAACTGCTGACCCATAGGTCGTTGCAGTGACAACATCGGCAACAGCGTAGGAGGTGAGGGAGCGCCAAGCGTCGAAGCGCCAGGCGACGACGGTCCAAGCGACGACAAAGTTCCAAGCACCAAGGTGCCAAGCGCCAAAGCGCCAAACAATGTCACGCACGGTGACATAAGAGACGAAGTCATCATCTGAATGCTGGTGACAGGCGCACTCGGAGACACAGTGGACGCTGCAACACTGGATGTAGACGTAGTGGTCATCAAGACCGGGCATCGAAGTAGAAGACATATTCTTCCGTCTCTGTTGTCCCAGGCGCTTCCTAGAAACCTGGACATAAACGGAGAAACTCTTGGGTGAAAGAACAGCGCAGCTGGCACATTTATGGCCAAGGGAACATTGAGTGGTACAATTCAAACATCGGGGATGAGGGTCTTAACGAGACTTCCCACCCCTACAATGTATACAACTTGAGCTGTACATGGATCTGCAATAAAGCAGAAAACCCAGTAAACGCACATAAAAACATTACATACAATAGTAATGAATATAACAGCATAATTGAGAACAAAGTCTCAAAACAACTGAAAGTTAAAGAGACCATAATACAGGCACAATAAATATACCACTTATTATATGGTATAGTATATATAAGCCAGGGCCCCGTTTCACAAAACTCTCGTAAGCCTAAGATCTCGTAACTTTTCTCGAAGCATTCGTACTCCTTTTGTTACAGTATAGGAGGTACGAATGCTACGAGAAAAGTTACGAGATCTTAGGCCTACGAGAGCTTTGTGAAACGGGGCCCTGAACCAAATAAAACACAACGCCTATCAAATACGGCGAAGTGTTGTAATGGCGAAGTGAAAGAGTGATGACGGGACCGTGTATAAACGAACGACATCACTACACAGAACTACTGAACTAAACAAGAGAAAGTGAAAGATAATACCTACACTTCTCGTAGAGGACAAAAACAAAAATACACACAAAGTTAGTCCTTATTAAGCTTCACAAAAATAATCACGTAGGACACAAGTAAAGCTGGCAATCAACACGTCTAAAGAGGCGTGTGCGAAAAGCAATAATCTGAGGTGGCTGACGTCACCTTCCGGTGACTCATGCGCAGACGAGTAGCAGCCGCGACCAGGAAGTGATTGCAGTTCTACGTCTTTTGACATCGTCTGGCAAGCCACGCTTTTCGAGCCGAAAGCAATAAGTGCAGGAAGTAAGTAGTGCAGGATTAGTTAAAAATTTATGTTATGCACAGTTATTTTTTTCTTGAGTAAATTCAAACTTTATTCTATCACAAAAGTTTACATACGAAATGATACGATATTACCGATGACACTATTTTCATATCGATAATCATTAATATTTTTTCCTATTGACTATACTCCTTATTAGGCAAACAAAAATATGTGTGTTTACGGTTTCCCGACCGACCCCATCACAAACTTCCCGACCCTAAACTTTTTTTTCACTTTTTTTTAAAAGACGGTGAAACATTTTGCTACTCCCAACAGTATGTACTCCCCAACACTGGGGGCGACCATATGTGACCTGTGCTCACTTACTCTTGTTACTCTAAATATGTGATTTTATTAAAAATATGCGAGTGCATTTTAAAAAAAAAATGTAAGAAAATAAAAAGATAAACCCTACCTATCGAAACTGTTTTATAATTTCATGTTACCCTAAACACACATATTTTTTTTCCTTATTGATCTTTTTAGCCAACCCTAATTATTATTATTAAAATAGTCCATTATCTCACAAAAGTTCTAATTGTGTCCACTGGATTTTTTTTAAAAGAAGAGACGGAAAAAAGGTACAATGCTGAGAAATCAGGTATATAATCCACAGAAGCTAACTCCCAATTGTCCACATCTTGGGGTGGCGGGTGTGGATATCCCAATCCAACTCTTAAACCAAGGGGTAATCCATTAGAATGATCCTTAGTGATTGGATTGTGTCCTTATTTCTTTCGTAGCAGGACATTGAATCGAACTTCTTGGAGAGATCAAAGATCACTGCCTTTAATGGTAAAGTGAGGTTATCTGAATTGCTGAAACATTTCTATCCCTTGATCTGTCTCTCTGATCAATATGACATAGGTGTTCCTAGGAATGGTAATGTAAATGAGAGTAAATCAATTCCAGTCCTGATCAGTATCAAATCTATTATCCAAAGGCGAAGAATTAAAAGGTGGCTGTCTGTCCTAATCTGGGCTGTATACGCTCCACTTATACTGGCGCCAATGCTACCACACCATACATGGTCCTCGGAAAATGAGCATTGGTAGAACTTATGTCGATCCTGCTCCAATCTGTCATGATCAATTGAGTGTCTTCTGTTTTCTAGATTGGACAATCGAAGTGGGGTGCAACAATCCTGACTATGGCTGTTGTGACTACGATTGTGAAAAACTGTTGATCCCATCACAGCTTCTCTAATCTTCCGAGCTGACTGACGTGGGGAACAGTGATCTCCCTCATCATAGCTATCAGTATCTTCCACGTTATATGGATGATAGAAAAGATAGTTAAAAGAAAGATCAAAATATAAAGTATAGCATTATGAGAGCCACTACTAACTAGTAAGTTTAATGACCCTTCAAACTAAACAAGTCAACCTGACTGCAAATGACCTTCAGTTTGGCAACAATATTGGGAGACCAGTTATGTTGTAAAACACTACTTTAAACAGTTAAATATGGAGTTCCTTTTCCGACAAGGAAGCAGGTATGGCTATTTCTAGGGTTCGGCAGAATTTCTATAGAATCATCAAGGGTTTGGCAGAGAAACAAGAAACATTTGCAACATGAAACAATCATAAATATGAGAGATATTATTGTTTTCTTCCCAAGGAAAGTAACATAACAACGTGTGGTAAAGTAATCATGAAATAATAAATCTTGCAAACCTTTGCTACTCTCTGGAGCCACATGTATCATGACATCATGGTCATTTATTGGAAGGTCATTATCATCAGTATCCTCATCATCAAAGGAAGTTAGAGCCTGGTATGCTGTTTGGTACTCTGCCATTCTCTATGGCAAATATTCCTTGGTGTTGTACTGAAATAAAATATACAAATTTCAAATAGGTGAGTAACAAACATGAATCAACTTAAAGATATTAAGACCAAAGACTAACACAGCCAAGCACTAAAACATCAATGGGTGATAGAGCCTTTTCTGCAGCAGCACCAGCTCTGTGGAACAATCTTCCAGTCACCCTCAGACGAACTGAGTCACATTCACAATTCAAGAACTTGCTCAAAACCTACTTCTTCAAGATGGCTTCTGAATAGAACTCTTTTCACACTTATTGTGTTTTTAACGATGTTATGCAGCGCCGTTGAGCATCTATGATGGAAACTAGGCGCTATACAAGCCAATTATTATTATTATTATTAAAGGCTCTGATCAGGTTCTGACAAATGTAACACTGGCAGTAGTAGTATTCACTGTAGAGAATGTTATTCAGGTTGCCACAAGGATCAGTGCAACAGAAAGATGACTTGACCCACAACCCATGAACCGAGGTACAAAAGCTCAACTTTATTTGAATAGAAAGGTATTTGCATTATATTCTTCCTAAATTTCCAAAACCTTCCTGCCAGAGACTTGTATGCTGACCTCCTCAATTTTCTTTCATCACTTATACTGTCTGCATGCCTCTACAGTAACTATCAATCTATTGAAAAATGACCTGGCTTTACCTCTAACAAACGCTTCGAACAAATGCTTGAGTGTTTATAGGGCCTGTAAGTCTGATGATGCGCTACTTCCGGTACTAAGCAGGTTCCCGGCTGCCTTTGCACGTGCCAACTTGCAATATGCGAGACAGGGACCAGCTCACTTCCGGTACATGATTCAGGTACAGGATTACGGTGACAAATGTATATTCGAGAACAAGTTCTGGTTCCAAACTGCATGGCCGCCAAACATGACTTTACTAGGGCGGACCAAGTGTACAACCATGCTTAGCTGTCACAGCTGTTGACACTCGTAGTTGTCTCATTTGGGGATGGTTAGATCAGAAATTTGTTATTCCTGCGAGGATTATCAGTTCCTTACTGTCAGCTGACAACCATGAGACCATTCGAAAAGGTATGAAATATTCTTTGTCACCGGAAATACTAAGGTCTCGCTAAGTGCTGTGACCTACTTACAGGCCCTATTACTTTAAACTTCACACATGTTTGTAGAAATGTGGCAGGTGTATTTTAGTGTAATAATATTATTATAATCATCTTATCATTCTGTCCTGTTAGCAATATTATTAGGCACTTTAAGGGTTAAGCTTTAGAGCTTGGCTACTCCGACTAATTGCCCAAGCCATGACGCTTCTTGGCTGATTGGTCTCACCAACTTCATGCACAATTTGACTCATTCTGCACTGCCTCTATGTCACAATAAGACAGAGTGGACAGACACACAATGTAATATTAAGGTCAGTATTTATCTATGAATTTAATCCTTGCAGTATCTTTATGATAAAAGTATATCTATTTACTATTATTTAAATAGTGAATGAGTTAGTGTGTTTTGTTCTACGCAGCTTTTAGCAATATTCCAGTAATATCACGGTGGGGGACACCAATTATTTAAATAGGTATTACATGTATTTTGTATAGTATGTAAGTGTGCTATGTGTAATTATGTTAGCTTTCCAATCCTTAGCCATAAACATAAATTAGTATCATTAATATATTCTTGTCTTTACTATCCTTTAAATGAATGTGTGAGATAAGAGAATGTATTTTGATATAAGTTGCTATGTTTTAACTATGATAAGTGTAATTATCAATGTGTGGAAGTAATTCCATGTTTATGAATGCAGCCCTAAATCTACACCACATTACCTTGCATATTATATTTATCATTTAATATTATTTATAAGAAATAAGTCCCTGTCCATATAACTGGTGCTGTTCATGATTGGTGTACACCCTTGTACCACCCACAGGCTATGTGTATATATGTATGTTTTATATCCATGTATTGTATAAGTACCATCACGTAATGTGTGGTGATGAATCAGATGTATGTTATCATTTCCACTAATGCGTAATGGTGTATTATTACTAGGGTTGCGCAATATAACCGCTTTACCAGTATAGACATGAAAACGATACGTATTGCAATACGCTGATCGAAAACTGGTATTTTGACATGCATACGAAAAACTTCGTAACACTCGGAAATCTTCCGATATTTCCGTTTTTCACTCAGGAAGTTAAGTTCGGTTTGAAGTTGTGTTCTTAATTTTTGTTCAGGTGTTTCGCAATGTTTTGGATCTGAATGTTTTAAATATTTACTCATTAAAGACCAGTGATCTCTCATGTGCCCTTTTCCTTGTTTCGTTTGTGCCAGATATTATTTACGTTTTTCATTTTGCCATGATTAAAAGTTTTTATCAAACTTAATCAAGCACAGTGATTTAGATGTGTTTTTGCTTTATAAATCAAGCGTTTATTATAAGTAGTTTTTTGTTAAAACAAACTTCTTGCAATATATTGCAATACATATCGCAATATTTGCTTTCGCATCGCAATATATTGCAATATGAAAATTCTCTGCAATACCCATCCCTAATTATTACCCATCTTGTGTGTATTGCATTGTATGTATGCATTACCATTACATTATGCGTAATGATGTAATATCATAATTCATGTTCCATATGTAAAATAAGTTATGTTATTCATGCCTTGAAAAACTACGGTATTATTGGTAATTATCCATATGTATCAACCCATGCATGGAATTATATGTATCTTGTATCAATTATGTGTGATGTGTATTATATTATTATATTTATTGTTACAGTGCGTCGTTTATCAATCTCACTATCTACACATCCTACTGTCATAAACAGCCTCACACCCCAGCAGAGTGTTGGTAATCTATGCCTCACGTTGACCCTGCTGCAGAAACGGGCAAACATTGCTAAAATTAGATATACTGGAATATCCTAAAACCCGGAGGGCGGGGATTTTCAGAACATAAGTAGGAATACATATATCTGTTTGTAACTGTGATTCAAAAGTAAGATAACCATATTTTCCTGAGGCCAATATCATTACAAATAACTTTTATTATAACTTGTGATAGTTTCTCAGCTGGTCACTAACTTTCTTTCAGTTATTTCCCATTTGATCTCACACATGACAACTATTTTTAAGATGTCAATGGTTCTTTAGAAAAAGATTTATAGTTAGCCAACAATGAGCAATCAATCAACGTTATATCAGATAATCCTTCAAATTAAGTGCAAAAGCACTTGACTTTTTCTATAGATCTGCATTAATAAACATACATACGCAACTTTAGACAACTCAACTGAGCAAGATAACAATGATCAATCAAGGTATAAACAGTTAATCCTTTGATCAATTTTAAGGGAACTCAACTGACAATTCTTTTGTAGGCTGCACTTCAATGTGCATATTACATATCATGTAATACATTTGCCACATCATGGCTATGTTAATAAGGTTCAGTAACTACTCCAGACACGATAGCAAAGCCAAAATGGGAACATCTGTCAGGTAATTAGAGAGATGTTATCACTAATTATGTCTGTTATAAACTCATTAAAGTGCATGACAAGTATAGGTTTATGAAACCAAACATGGATGATAACATGGAAGTCATAATCATTTAATTGTATTGTAAGCAGTTTAGTTGCCGAATAAAACTGAAGGATCATTGCTGTTAGTGTTTTGAGCTACGAATGGAACTTCATTACCACATGAATAATATGCACATGCATTTGCAGTGTATTAAAATTAATAATTAAGAAATACAGTTCGCTCTACCACCATGTATAGTGTAATAAAGCACACTTTCGCCCTGAACTATTATAGTTAAAGCACAAGGACGCTTGCGTCCAAGTCCTTTAACGTTATAATAGTTCAGGGCAAACATGTGCTTTATTACACTATACATGGTGGTAGAGCGAAATGTATTTCTTTTCTGAGATGCCAAATGTAATACTTTCTAAGGATAATTACGATTAATCTAAGGCAGAAAACAAACGACGGTGTCGGTGACCTAAATTAAGAATTCTCACACAGGGCTAACTGGCGTGCTGTTCTATTGACGTGTCTGCCCCCCTACGTTAAGACGAACGTTACCAGAAAAACAAATGATAAACAGTTTGATGACAGTTTACGTTCGGATTAAATATCTTCTCTAAATTACAACTGTGATTAACGTAAACCATGTGAACGTCGCATTTCTACTACCAACGTAAGTTTAGATCAGTTCATCCAGACGAAGCTGAGTAGTCAAGCGACATTCCATGATTGCATTGTGGGAATGTAAACATTGCGACATTACCGTGTCGCTGAAAACTTGTGAGTCTAATAGAGAAATTCTAAACATTGGAAAACATTAATGTAATGTTTCCACCAGTGACGTTAGCTGCATGAAGCAACTGCAAACCAAGAAATGGAATGCAACGGAGTAGTTTACTGTAGGAGGTTGTACGAGGCAATGACAACTGACATGCACCGTGACGTCATTTACATTGGGACGTAATGCAAAATTGCTCGATTACGAGGGGGCAGACAAGAATGGCAATACATTGTGATGTAATGCAAAAAGTGCACATTATCCTCTGATAAAGTACTGTCGGGGCCTTTGATCTTTCACCGAAGCATCTTAGAATTGTAGATACATGTTTACCTCAGAGGATTAGAGCAAAGGCAAAATGGTGTTGATTTATTTTATGCCTTCAAATAAATCAATCCGATATGTGCAGTGGCAAGACAGGAATTCTGACTTGCACAGCTTTCAAAAAACAAGCATCAGTAATAATAATAATAATGATAATGTGTCCATTTATATCTATGGCGCCAAACTCCACACAAGGTATGCTCATACTGAGGCATAGCGCTGACAATGAATAGCACAGCACATTATTACCCAGGATGACCCAAGCATTCAAACAGAGTACTTGTCACAGTATAGATCTCTTTTTCCTAACCCATATCAGCTAGATTACATGACTAATCCACATGTAAACAAAAAATCCAGCCTAATGATCTAGGTTATTTATTAACTTAATTACAACATGTCATGGGTTTCCAGACAATAAACAAATTTCTTAGAGTATTGATGTTTTTCACAACATTATATGATCTCTTGGTGCTAGATTCAACAATGCAATCCTATACCCATTGCAGATTCTGCTTCAGAACTATAAAGCTAATTATATTGATTTGTTAATTCGCTAACACTTCAATTAATGTATGTATTGGTTGTAACAGCTTGAGGAAATACTTACGGTCACTAAACGTTTTTGTGATTTACATCTTACCCACCCCAATACATAATTGACGAAAGTAAGTAATCTATCGTATTCTCGGACCTGACAGTGACAGTTTCCAAAGCCTGTAGTCGGGTATAACAATCGTTTCACAGTCTTACTGAAAATACAAACGATAATATGAGGATATTGGTAAACATAACATTACGTACCGAATTCGCCGCTCAGTATTCCCAACAGTTCTCAGAGCCAAATGACAGTTTTCACTGCTGTTTCACCCCAGCTGCAGAATCAAAACAAAGTATTACAACTTCCGTCAACAAGATGTTACTATTTTCATTGGATGAAAATTGAAGAAAAATTATTTAATGAACATCGAAGACAAAGAGATTTATACATGGTATACATGTCATATTATTTCAATTTACAATTTTCTGTGCGTAACCGTTTATGTAATTCAATATTGATTACGAACGCGACAGAAATACCGGGGCCGTATTTGCGCGATATGTTTTTCCCGAACGATTGATCTTCACGTTCCTTCACCTAACCCTAACGACCCTGCACGTACTGTTGTAACTTATCCAAAAGTATAAATTAAAAGAAGGTTGTCGCCTGTTTATGTAACAAAAAAGATAGTATTAGATTATGATGTAGTAGAATTACCCTCGAACCGGCCCCTGATATTTAACCCGAACCGGCCCCTGATATTTGACCCAAACCGGCCCCGAGAAGTAAATATTTCTACATTGACATATGAATTAAAGTTCCTTTAACATAAATGACGAAAACATATTACTCATATGTCTTTACATGTAATATCGATTTTTGAAAATATATTAGCGAATATTAGTGTCGATGAGAGGCAAGTGAACATGCAAGTGCTGCTGATCACGGAGATCCCGCGGTAGAGGACATTTTATGTAATTCTTTTAAGAATCTAAAAGATCAATTGCAAAACTAAAGTAAAACGTGTACTTACATTTCGTTGTATCGTATCCACAGAATTTACACATTAATTCAATACAAGAATAGCACATAAATCCAATATAAGGAATTCACGTTTCACCTTTGTTATGCCCAAGTTTCCAGTAACGAAAAATAATGTCATCCTTCATCTTTTCGCATGTTTCCATGTGTGGAACATTTGTCAAGATTTTCAACACACATTAACCACCTTTCACAGAGTGAATTCTGCTAACATCGAAACTAAAACATTCTTCAGCTCCAAAATTAAACTGTTATTTTACGCACGTCTCACTGAGCGATTAAAGTGAATGTGTTGTTTTAATATTTCTTTGAACTGATTATCGTGAGCGAATTAATGTACATGTTGTCTTAGCGTATGCTCTTACTTGACACTGGTTGCGTTGTCTGTCTAATTACCGTTAATTAACCCAGGGGCCGGTTCGGGTGCGGGGCCGGTTTGGGTTAAATATCCAGGGGCCGGTTTGGATTAAATATCCAGGTGCCGGTTCGGGTGTATCCCATGTAGTATGTCTATATAGAAAGATTTGTCTTTTCTTGTCACTGTTCCACATTGTTGTGCTGCACCTCAAATGATGATAAAACTCGTTTAAATGGAAAACCGCCACGAAGTAGTGAGGTGTCACGGTTTCCTTTCTGCCAGGGGCGGTGGGGTAGCCTAGTGGTTAAAGCGTTGGCTCGTCACGCCGAAGACCCGAGTTCGAATCCCCACATGGGTACAATGTGTGAATCTGGTGTCCCCGCCGTGATGTTGCTGGAATATTGCTAAAAGCGGCGTAAAACCAAACTCGGTCAGTCAGTCCTATTTGCCACTTCTAATTATATACGATGAATTGAAATTAGTTTAGGAGTAAGGACCAAAACGGCTCTACCTCGAAACGGCCTTGAGAAAAACAAGCAGCGTCTTGTAACGTTGAAACATGAACTTACGACTAGATCTATCTTAGCGCTACGAGAGCTTCGAAAATCTAGGCCCAGTGTGAGAAGGGAGATTACCTTTGGGAGACCTTTACTTACTTTCGCTTGTAGTAAAGATGTAAATATGTGTATAAAAGGTCTTATAGGTCAATTGAGAAAGCGCTTGCAATTTTTTCATGATACCCTCGGTTGTTAAAAATCATTGAGGTGGATAAAAATGAGCAATCAATTTTTTAAACAAACTATACTATGTTCTATTTACACAGGCACTTTGCGCCAATAGATGTGTATTCCTTCTGCTTTAGTAAACCTACGTACATAAATACTATCTTTTGACAATTCACGATACAAGACAGCAATAAATCAATCAACATAAATATCTCTGTTAATACTTTGATCGATGTTTTCTCTTACTCTCTTCGTGAAGTACTACGTTCATTTTACACAACAAGTAATACGTACATTCACCACGTCAGACCAATACATTTTCCAATAGTAGACTAAATAGTCGTGGCATCAGAATTATACTGTTCTGTCGAAGAAATTTGGTTAAATTGAGTAGTTGGTTTGTTTTGAAAGCGCAAGTTATTATGGCGCATGGGTACTCTTTACATTACACATGCAGGACTTTTTAGCATTCATTATGCATAATTATAATCTGTTAAAAGTAAAAATATAAATAAATGCATAAAATATATATACATGGAATGATTATTGGGTTAAATTCGCATTTATGTCATCATAGCAATATTTTAATTTAAACAAAATTTCTTTGTCAAATTATTTCCCAAAGAACAGACGTAATGGCACAGTTGCTTGGGGGTATTCTTGAATGAGTTAGTATGATTTGTTGTTTGTTGAGACAAACCTCTGTATTATAATTTACTAATTAGTGTCACCATTTTGTAAGAAATGGATAAATAAATTAATATACTAAATAACCCATAGCACTGACTGATGGACACGTGTTTATAAGGGATAGAATATTATGTGTAAAGGGCCCTGAGCTGATTCTGAACTTTACCAGCCTGACTGTGCCAGGATCAACCGAACCCTCTCTGCTGCATTTTTCATCTTAAATGGCCACTGATCCAGAGCGATTGATGTTTCCAGCCAACAGTCTACTTACCAAACCTAGCTGCAAACTGGTCAGCCCCTGCTCCCTCGACCGTGACGAACACGGGGACTGGGCTACTGTCCACCTTGGCAGAAATTCTTCAAACTAATCAGTGGGACATTAGGAAGGGTGGATGCCCATCAGATGCCGTTATTTGAAAATATTCCCGGTAGTTCTTGTCTGATTGTAATAAAGTATATCCTAGCAGTGTAGGCTTTTTCAGATTTTCAAGTGTTTGGAGGGTATATTGACTGATCCAATTTGATCCTATTTCTGTGTTTTTCACCTCTATATTTAATCATGTAAAAATGTGATGTCTATTACGATTGAAAGATATCAAAAACACACATCTGATATATTTGAATCCATAAACTAAACAACCCGTTTGCCATTGCTAGAAAAATCTGAAATTTTGGGTACTTAGGTATATACAGTTTTTAACTAAGTACACAGCAAATGCTTATATATATTTCTTATGTAACAATGAAGTTCGATCCGTTCGTATCCTCAAAACAGTTTCGACCCATAAGTTTTTTTTCAGACAATCAAACTTGCATGCAATACAGCGATTACTACTCTCTTGATGTAACCCTTGTTTGGTGGTAAACCTACACGTTATTTGTCATCATTCACTTGATGGTCAGTTAATGAATTTATAACAGGTATAATTAGTGATAACACCACTCAGATTACCCGACAAAGGTTCCCATTTGGCATTTCTTGTGTCTGGAGTAAATACTCATCATTATAAATTGACCTGTGATGTGAGTAGTGTACCACCGCACCCTGGGGTCTTTTTCAAGATGGCGGCACTTCCGGTCACGTGATCCAAGATGGCGTCACTTCCGGTAAGGGGAGATAACTCGGGTTCCGGTTCCGGGAAAGGGGATTGTTCCTGTTCCAGTGCGTGCACACGCATCGTGATGATGTCACGTCCGGTTCCGGTGTGCGCGCGCATCCCGATGACGTCATCTCCGGGCCAAGATGACGTCACCTGTGGGCCAAGATGGACGCCCTGTTCAAGATGGTGGTCCATCCGGTGGGATCTTGTGGGATATCGCGGGATCTCGCGAGCGTAGACACAATTCAAGATGGCGAGCAGACGGACGAGAGGCCGACGGGGAAGGAGAGAGGGGGAGGGTGGGAGAGTGGTGAGAGGACGATGGCGTGCCTAGAGAAGTGTGTGGTTCAAGCTTTGTCACACAGATTTTCTTTCGAGCGGGATGGGTGGCCCTGAAAAGTGCCGTTGGCACTGGCTGGCAAGAGATCACCGAGGCATGGTATCTATTGTGGTGATGGTGGTCCACTGGAGGTTGTGCTGCTGGAATCGTCCATGGGTTCAACAAACTCCAAGACGCGTTGAAGTAGAGAGAGCATGGTGTCTATGTGGTCTTGAACGAGGATGACCTTGTCATGGAGTAGAGCCAGTAGATGATTGCCTTCAACTTTACCCACTTTCTTTGGTAGTTGACCTGACTGGTTGACGGGAGCCGCACGTTTCTGGGGCTTGTTGGTGCAGTTCATACTCTTATAGTCCTCTTTACCCAGTTTCTGGGGCTTGTTGGTGCAGTTCATACTCTTATAGTCCTCTTTACCACAGTGGCGGCAGGGATGTGGGCAGTCGTAACGTCATAGAGTGACGGTGTTTATATAAACCAGGCTCAGCGTGGGTCTTGGCAGTTCTCACCATGGAGTCACCACTAATGAATGAAGTAGAGGACGAAGAAGAAGAACTTAAAGAGGCGCCCGGGCCAACACTCATCGCTATAAGCTGAAGTTCAATCCATCTTGGTTGCAGTGTCAACAACCTGAAGACCTCCCCACCGTTCTCAGAGAGCAGTTTGATGCTATCTTGTTAGACCTGAGAAACAATGTGAACGGCCAGGATGATGATCGCGTTGGATTGGCCCTGAAACATCACCCATTTCCATCACATTTCAGCAGATGGGTGACCTCCAGGGGGAACACATCATGGCCCAAGTGGAAAAAGTACAGTAAAGTAACCACGACTTGTATATCGATGAGACCATGGATATATACTAGTAGTATATACAGTAGCGGTACGAGATCAATTCCAAGAAAAGACTCAGCTTTTGTCAGGCCCTATTGTATATACCACTGTTAGATCCCCCAGTTAACTTCCTGGTCACTATGACCGCGTAGAAACAAACACTTCCTGGTTACGTGACACTATTGGGATTACTCGACAAGGTATGTGTTAAATATTTTGCTTGGGGGGTAACATTGTGCTGTGGGGTATGATCAATAATTCCTCTCTGACGAAACCTTTCGGTGGCCCATCTTTCACGTAGTACAAGTTCGGCTCGTCGGCTTTGATGCCCACTTTATCTATGTTGTAAGTTTTGACCGACCATGTCGGGTCGGTGGCTGGTTTCTTGCCGGTGAGCCGAGTGGTTTCGTGGTTGATAGCCGACACCACTTGAGGTAGCCGCGCTACCCATTCCGTCAATCGTCTCCCCGGGTTGGCCATCTCTCTTGCATACTGATGCCTGAATAAGCGCTCGGCCAAAGTCCTATTGAATCTCTCGACGATTGCTTGGCTGCGATGAGCCCCGACCGCGCCACGCCTGGCCTGGACGCCGTGCTTAGTTAGCAGTTGTGACACGGCACCCATGAACTCCCGTCCGGGATCGACTTGCATTTCGGTTGGCCATGTCAGCGGGCTGCGCTTGTATATGCGTATGAATCCGCGGGCTACCTGGGCCGAGTCTTTCGCGGTTAAGGGTTCGGCTTCTTTATAGCGGCTGGCCACGTCAACGACGGTTATGGCATACTTGTACCTCTTGTCGTGGGGTAAGAACAGGAGGTCGGCCTGGTGGACGCTATTGGGTACGGTAATACCGAACTTTCTTCTAGGCATGTAGCATGGTGCCGGTAGGTAGATCTGCCACAGGGCTTGTTTTTCAAGCCACGCTTTGGCCTCGTCCAGGGGTACTCTCGCCATTTTGGCAAGCTTATGTATGGTGCTCGCTCTTTTCCAGTAACCACGCGGGCTGTAGTAAATAGCCTCAAACTTTCTCTGGTTCCGTGACATCGTATACATACGGCTATGTCTTTGGTTCAATTTTCTCATGCCTGAACGCGTATGTGTTGATTTCATCGGCGGCTATCCATCGGTGACAGGAGACGTCTTGTTTATCATCAGTCCATATATCCTGTGTCCTTCGCTTCTCAGCGTGTTCATCTGATGCTTGAAGGTGCGGGCCCTGAACAGGGCCTCTTTGAACTTGGCGTGTTTGATGTGTTGTTTCACCACGTACTTCTTGACCCCTTTGCCTTCCGGATCTCGCTATTGTCGGCTTTCAGGATGGAGTACATCTTGGGCCTCAAGCCTATGTACTCCGCTATGGGCGTACCAGCACACTCGTCCTTCATCTTACCGAGGACCTTTTTGTTAACCGTGCTGTGCATGGCATAGTCCTTGGGGTAGTCACTGGTGTCATATCTGTGGATGTGTTTTGCCATGTCCCCGTACACGTCCTCGGTTCGAATCTCCATCAGCAGGGAGTCCGTGTCCGTGTACAGCACTTCGCACCTGTCGCCGTACTGCTTCTTGAGCTCGTTGTAGTAGAAGTCGTACATCAGGTGCTTGGAGAGGTCGAGTAAGCTCATCCCAACGTAGACGGGCCAGTTGAACTTGATGTGGCTCTTCCTCATGTGCAGGGCCACCAGATCGTCGGTGAATATCTTGCTCCGGTTGAATGCCGGGCTGGCTATCAGTCTCCTGAGTTTGTCTTCCTCTTTCGACTGGACCAGCTTCACGGTCACGCGTTTCCTCAGGTTCTCCATCATCTTACCGAACACCGAGTTGTTCATGAGCTTGTAGAGGTTCTTCTCAAAGTCACTGGTGGCCAGCTTTCGCAGGTCCGTGTTCATTCTGATGTAGGGATCCATCCAGGGGCTTTGGGCAAACTTGAGCACCCTATGGGTTTTAGTCAGCCTCATACCCAGCGACAGGTATAGCTGCAGGTTGCGATAGTGAACGATGTACTTGGTCTTGTTCATCAAGTTGGGTACGGGTTTTTCGACGTTGGCTAGCCTATTCTTCCCCAGCAAGTTCTGTTGGTAGTTGGACATCCAGTCCGGGTTCACCATCAAATGTTCTGGGGCCAGGGGGGTAGCCGTTGAGGGACTTGTGTAATGCCGCTGGGTACTCCAAGTCAACTTCGAGGATGTAACCTACCCCCGAATCCGGCGGTATGCTCATGGCGTCTATCTCAGGCACCCACTTGAACCCCCCGGTGGGTAGATACTGGCTCATGGCCCAACCGTACAGGTTGTTGGCGTCGAGATAGAGGAGATGATTGGTGGGTTTGCTAGGGTCGTAGCCCTTCACATACTTATTGTTGGCTCTTGCGTAGCGTTTGGCAGCCATGGAAATCCCACCTCGCAATCCTTTCTGGATGAACAGGTGCATGTTGTAATCGGTGAGGAGTTCCAGCTTAACTCCGGTTTTCTTCAGCAAGGCATCCCAAGAGAGACCGGGGCTGGTGTAGTACCATGTGGGGTCGAGGTGATACTGCTTGAAACACGTCTTTCTGAACGTCTCGAACACGTCAGCCAGCAGGAGTACGTCCGTTCTCAAGTACAGGTCGTGGTAATCACCCAGGTTCCTGCAGCCCAGTTTTTCCCACACATTCTGGGCGTGGTCGTAATCGCCCTCCGTGATGGCAGAGTCGGTCAAGTTGCTGTAAAATTCCTTGATGGGGGGTAGTCGGGTCTCGGCGAACCTGGCCCAGCTGTCCATGTACTCGTAGGGGTAAACACCCTTCCTCATCAGCAGGGTCCGAGACTCGGCTTTGGTGTATCGATCAGTGATGGGGAAGGTATCGTTGGCCTTGACCAAACTGTCGAGAGATGACAGCAGGAACTGAACTGAGTCTATGAACCTCAGGCCGTTCAGGGAGAAGGAGATGTATCTCTCCATGTTGTTGGGGATGCACGTCAGGTTGCCGTCGACCCTTGCGATGGCCTGCATGATCAAGTGAGAGTCATACCCTCTCAAGTTGTGGAAGACCACGGGGATGTTGATTGTCTTGGGGTTGATTCTCAGCTTGAGGTTGCACGCGCTGAGCGGCGCCTCTGTACTCCCCGGTGACATGACAGTGATCTCTCACCGAATCGCCGTTCAGCGGGCCGTCGCACACATGGCAGTGAGTGCTGCAGCTGTGAGCTCGCCGGTCGGCTTGGGTTATACGCATGGGAGCGGTGGCATACAGCCTCTTCCTTATGGTTTTCTCTTCCCATTGCAAGCACCTTAGAAACTTTTCAGCCGCGTCGGGAACCCTGTACACCCTGGGAGCATTTGTTACCCCATCACATCGGACGACCACGTATCCGAACCCACAGGCCTCGTGCTCCTGCATTTTGTGCGTGTTGGGGGTCGGCCCGATGTCAACGGGTTTGACCAAGGCTTCGAAGTCGGCGTAGATGTCATAAGGCACGGACATCTGGTTTTTGTGGTTGGTGAATTTTAAGATGTTGTCGTTTTCGTTGGGCATGTCGATTCGTATGGCCGTCTGCCCCAAGCCTAGGCAATCATCCCGGTGGGATTCTAATAAATCAGCTCGCGTGAAGCCTAGTAGGCATCGTTCACAAAAGTGTTTTTTTTCCGTCGTATTTCGATTGGTCGTGCAACAGCCTGCTGAAGTGTTTTATCCACGCGTAGTGTTACTTACCACCTCGCTGGATCATGAATATATTGATCACACGGCGATACTCCATTGGGCTGATCCTGTGCACGATCGTTTTGTTACCTTCGTGCCCAAAGACGTTGATGGCTATGGCATTCTGCTTCTCGATTTTGGTGATTTGAGATATGGGGGTGGGTTCGTCTATACCGTCCCAGTTGAGCCCGTCGTCTTGAGGATAGCTGGTAGGTCTGTTCGAATTAATGTCAGCCGGAAACAAGGCTGATCTGATCGTTAACCTCATGCAATCGTCCCCTCTGTTCTTGACGTTGACCATGGCTTGTTTTTTCTTGTAGTAGGGGGGGCAAGTCTAGGTACGATCCGCCTCTGAACGGGACGTAGTTAGCTATGTCTAGATAGAGTTTATCGATTTTATCCACGGCCCAACCGGAACCCCTGTGCATGTAGCGTTCCAAATATTCCCGTATCTGCTGAAGACTGGTGTCGATGGACTCGTCTATAGTCTTGGGTTGAGTCACGACTTCTTGTTTACCCCGGAAGTAAGGCTGAACGTACTCAACGGCACCGTCCGTCTGCTGTTTATCAAGCGACATCTTTGCCGTTATTTGAAACTTGAGACTTCCCAGGTCGTTCATTTCCTCATTAACTTTGTCAGCGATCAGAGGCTTGACGTCGCCGATGTCTATGTTCTTATCTACATGCATGCGCCAGCCTCTCAGGTAGTTACCTACAGCACGTTCAGTGTGCACGAACTGTAGATCGACGACTCTGTGCTGATGCAACAGTTCAACGAGCTCGGGTTTCCTCATATGGGAATAACCCGCCAGCCCTAGCTCTCTCGCTTGGAGTTTGAGTTGTTTCACCATGGGAGGTCGTTGTACGGGGGCGTGCAACAAGTGCGACTAGCCCGGCTTTCCTCATACGGGAATAATCAGCGAGCCCCAGCTGCTTAGCTTGGAGTTTGAGTTGTTTCACCGTGGGAGGGGGTTGTATGCCGAGTAATCTAAACAGCTGGGGTTTCCTCAACCGAGAGTAACCGACTACACCTCGTTCTCGTGCAACCCGTTTAAGCTCTCAAATAGTAGTCACTGTTATACTTATTTGCAAAGTCAATCTCTAATTGGGTGTTCGGTACTGAGTAAAAAATGAAGCGCGCATATTTTTTCACCACGAATCTAGCCCCCTGCCCAGCTCTATATTCAGAATAACCGTATCGATTCTGAGCTCAGGATAGCTTTCCCGTTTTATTATTTCCAGATCGTTGGGGATACACATATATATAGGCTGGTTCAGCCAAGAATTGTTCTCTGAAGACATCCAGCTTTGTAGTAACAACAGTCATTTGAAAGTTGATGTGCCCCAATTCGTTTATTTCCTCTTCGAGTTTGCTAATGATCAGAGGTCTGATGTTGTCAATACTGTGTTTACCTGGAAACATCAACCAGCTTCTCAGGCCAAAAGATTTCGGGGGTGGAATTCGAATGAATTGAATAGCAGTCATTGTTATACCTAGGTGCAAGCCAATTTCTAATTGTGCCTCCAGTTATGTAAGGGAGGTAACTCTGTCAGCCTTATCTGCCAGGCCAAAAAATGAAGCCTTTAAATTTTCATTCTGAGGAGGCGCTTATGTTCGTTCAAATAATCTTTTTTCTTGTCGTAAATAAGTTGGTTTCGGACCATGTTCGCCCCGTGGGCTCTACATAAATAGTAATGGCATTTCACTACAATACCACACACGGAGCACATGTAGTTCACGAAACCATTTCTTATACTCCTCATATGAAAACAACAGTACCCCTCCATCCTTCCACCCCCAACCCATTCTCGGTTTTCCCCATAATCACGTACTGACATTGATACGGGGCAGGTCTCATTGTATACTCATATGTGTACCTAGTTTAGTTGCTTTGCGATCAATGCAGTCGCTGCTAGGCCTATCATGACGAAGGCCCATTCTCGATCCTTTTGTCCCTGGCTGGGTGCGTAATACTGTGAGAGTGTGGGTTCATCGAGAGGTTCGAGCTGTTTGCCTGTCTGCAGGTAGTATTCTTTCGCGGCATTGTCGACGTCCTTGAATGTTCGAACGGCATGGTTCTCACGCTCGAGTCGTTCGTTAATGAAATCGAGCCTCTGCATACATTTCTTCGCGTACTCGGCTTGCGCGGCTTGTAATTTCTCCACGGCTATATCATGG